TACAGTATTTTCAGGTTAACATACAGTTAGGAAAATTTCGAGGCTCATCCCTAAGGTCAATATATACTTCAAAATAAAAATTAAAGTCGGAAAGCAAATCGTATTCTGGTCAGTTAGTTTTCTAGGTCCATCTATGGTTAAATGTATATTACGCTGGGCAAGAAATTGCCAGTGATATTTTAAGTAAGTAAAGCGGAAGCTATTTTCGAATGAGTTTACAAAGTTTAAGGACTTCTTTTTATTCAATGAAATTCATCGCTAGGATTGCGTAATATTTTATAAACCTCTGAAAGTGTTCATGAGCTTCCGGAATAAAATCATAAATGTAGTCATAAATGCACTCAAGCATAAATTTACAGGTACATAAATAGATCCAGAAATTTTTTTGTGGTTTTAGTCGAGCTGATTAGATCCTTAATTTGTTGTTAGCTCATGGTTGCGATGAGAAGGTTTCCCAACTCTGATGAAAGAATTGGCGTTCTCTTCTTCGTTTACTTCAGACGAAATGAACTTCAGATAAAACCATGGAATATTTGAAGTTTCATCAAAAATCAATTCTTCGTCCGATTTGTACCGCAAACTACCTCAGATAATTATTTCCACTTTCAAAGATTATATCAACAGATCCTGCCTAAATGCGTTTTTGAGGTTAATTGTTCCGTGTCCTTTACTGAATTACATTTTAGCAATACAGACTAATACTTTAGGTTGAGAGCCATCAGTAAGTAAGCTTAGACTTGATGCCTTAGCCAACTTTCATTGAATTAGCTTGATATCCTGCGAATTGTCTCACGTGATAAATTCTATTTCATTATTTAGTATTATAAGATAAAAAGATTATAAAAGTAAAAAGGAAAGTTTTTCCAGTTTACATGAAAATTAAACACCTTAGTAGGTAGTAGGCGATCCTATTAGATATAAATCTAAACACCAACTACTTTCTAGTCTCTTTTACCTAGGCGTCATTTAGTTGTCACAAGATTTGCATATACAAATGTCATATCGTGCTGTAAATTTGCTCATGATGAGATAGTCTGCCTTGGTCAAGTCAAAATAAGTTGAACAACTATTACAATTTCGATTTTTTATACGAGAGACTGGGGCATAGGAAAGTTATAAACTGGTATTATGGATAGATGAGGTAGAGATGAGGCGGAAATCAGTGATAGTTAGCTATTAGTGGATGAGTATGATGATAGATGTAGTCCGTGAAGTAGAGGCTCAGCTACGAGATTTACTCGGTGCACGTGTCGAACAGTGATAAGGGAATCTGCAGCATCAATTTATGCTACCATGCTACTTGAGAATTCAGACATTGGGTACTTGCGCAAGGAGGCTGGAGTATACGTGCTATCAATGGCTTGAGACAGAGTGTGGAACATAACTCCTCGAGTAGCACAGATATGGGGGCAGCGATCGAGTTAAATCAATGAACCAGGTAGATAAGAGACCGAGCCTAAGCAACAAGAGAGAGACTCTGTAGGACCTGGAGGAAGAGGATTGAGGACTAAACGACAGTCTTGGATTAACACTCCCAGCACTATGGCGGGGATCAGGGAACCGGCGGAGAGGTGAATAGGATTTACTAAATCCGCTCAAAAGGGCACACCTCAACTTGGTTAACATGAGCAAGTTAAAAATTGTGATAGTGAAGGGTTGTTACAAGAGCATAGGATAGGTGAATATACCAGAACACAATGACAGATTCTATAACTGTTTAGCAGACTCTTTGCAAAAGTATTGACCCCACTTGTCTTTTTGGCGAGTTATGGTGTTGTGCCAAGAGTGGCAAGATTCACTGACGATGCCGATTGGGATGTCGACGAAATGTCTGGGAATAGGCCAAGACCATGATCCGACTCTGGAGATTATCATGCATACTACGAACTTCGGACAAAGTGCGTTCCTCTAGGTCTTTCTCACAATATACCACCTTTATGTTAAATTCTATATGCAAATAAGCTTAGATTTGATGTCCTGACCATATTTCATTGCATTCGTTTCACATCCCGAGATTCGTCTAACATGATACGTTCGTTTTCTTCATTTGACATTAGAAGGTGAATTCAGTTGATAAAGAATAAAGGAGAGTTATACCAAATTAAAGGCCACACCATCTAGGTATTCATATCTACGAAAGTTTTACCATTTTAATTGAAATTTAAACACCTTAGTATGAGGTTGGCGATTTTATTACGACTAAATGTTAATCTGTAGGTCAATTACTTTATAGTCCCCTTTAGCTAGGTGTCACATAGTTGTCACAAGATTTCTATATAAAATTGCCCTAGCATATCGTAAATTTGTTCATGGTGAGATAGTTTGCCTTGAGAGTTTATCTTGCGCTATGTGAATGGATTTGAATGCATGGGATAGATGCATATTTGCCATATATTAAACCTCGAAATTCTTGTATCATTTTACTGACACGTTTGAAACTTTTAAATCCATTACAGATAGCAATCAAGGTAGAAAATTACATTTGTTAATAAAATATGTTATTTGACATATGCAAATAGGGAGATACTTTACAAAAGTCTTTCACTAATTGTAGGTTGCATTCTGAACATATAAGTTGGCGTGGATTTTTTGGATTCAAAGAAAAGTAGATAACTTTTGAAATAGTTGCATAAATTGACTTTATTATTTATCTAGTGCCTCTATGAACAATGGGAACTAAACATGCTGAACATTTTACAACTTCCTAAGTACCTTTCAACTTTTCAGTCTGGGTAGATATTTTTATTGTTGATAATTATTAATAGCCAGTTTATCATCTTTTTGACTAGTGCTGTCAACTTGGAAAATGAGAGCTGTATAGCGCTATAAACAAATCTATCTACGCGAAAAATGTTGGGTTTCGAAGAATCTCTTGGTTGATAATAGCTGAGCTTACTTCCACTCCAAGAAAAAGTGTTTGATAAAGAGCTTCGGAGGTCGATCCCACCAAAAGACGAAGGTGAATTCTTCCTGGCCAGCTGTCGATTGAAAATAAAAACGGTATTTTCAGGGAAGCTATGACAACTTCTTCAGTTGTCCACTTTTAGAGAGAAAGTTAACCAATTGTCTATACTGGGTTGCTATAAAATAAGCTGTTCATGTGCTCGCTGTTATGTTGGGGAGACTTGTAACCCATTCGAAAAAGGACGGCTTAATACAAAAGCGTGTATGGAGGCTGTTGGCTTCAAGACTCATAGCTAGTAGGGTACATGGCAGAAACTGTACGTGGGATTAAATAGTCCCAAAGTTATCGTTTTGTTGATTATTGTATGTCTGAGATTAAGAGTAACCTTAAAGAGGCCATCGAATTCAACCGGCTAGGCAATACATTGAACGTAAGAAATACCGGAAAGAAGTTAAATAAAAATTACTTATGTCCAATTGATAAACTCGAGGATGGACAGGGTGTTGACCACCCTGCGAAAGAGAGACGACACGACCTGTATTTCTTGTCTTGGTTCTAATCACGGTCACCTTTCTGTAATTTTTAGTCCCCTTTGTCTTTCTCACATGAAGGCAAAAGTATCATCAACATAAATAGACATTTGTTTGAATCGCATGATCGGAGTGATGGTTAAAATATACATAGGGGGAAGGTGATGGTGGTAATCAAACCTTGATGGTCGAAAACAGACGTTACTTTTTCTGCTCGAACTACTGTGAGCAAACACTGCTACTTTCGTACATATACGAAGACATGAAGGCACACAAATACACACATACTTAAATGCTTCAAGGTTGGCATATAATTTGGACTAACCAAATCACTTTATGCCATGATCAAAGATCTTAGATGCATGGTATATATACAGCATTTGGAGTCAGTGAGTTTTCCTGACTCGTTAGCTCGAATATAGTTGTAAGGATGATACCCTGCTCTAATGATGTCCGACATACGACGGACGAAAGCTCAGCACGTCATCACAGGAAATGAGAGATATTGCCTCGCAAAAGCTTCAACAAGATTTTCCCAGTATAGCCAATCGACAGCTGGACAATGGGAATCCGTGAGTATTGCCATTCTCTGCATCAAGCTGCGAACTCGGTAAGGAGATAATTAATCATTCCCTCGAACAACGTTCTGCCAAAAACGGTTAAACTATATTTCCTCTTTCTGTCCTGGCCCATCTGTCAACTCTTTACCCTCTTATCCAACTCCAGCTCTATTGCAATTTCTGACTTGTTTACGTTCCACTCGTCAAAATGTGTCCTTTTTGGCAAATTTAATGTGATCTCATCACACCTGCTATTCCCCTCTTACGATCGGCTAATCCGACTCGAGCCTCCTGTCCGGATCTCCCTCATGGACCCGTAGATCCGTTTCTTATCTTTCTAGTAGACCGATTTCACTAAGTTCCAGTCAATATGCGTTTTACTCCAGGCGCTATTTCTCAAGGCCCTAGAAGCACTTACATTGCCGCCTCACCGAGCAGAGCACCTAGGCTCTGATTCTCATGCATGCAGATATAAGGCCTTGCCTTAACAGGTCGTCTCCTTTATTAAATCCGTGTTACCTGAGCAAACTGTGGACGTCTATCTCTGGCTGCATAAAGTATCTTAAGTGGAATTCTAGAACATTTTGGCCATAATGCCAAATTTCCGTGACGCTTTTGCTAATCCGTCTGCATAATTCCATGACTGCCAGGCCCCAAAGTTGTACTGGTTTATACTAGATACGAAGAGAAACTGGGTTTCAATGAGTCTCCTGAGATAATATTCTTGGGGGGACTTTCATTTCGTATTAAAGTGCATGAAGAAGAGATTCGTAGGTCGACCTCACCGGAAGAGGACGGATGAATCCTGTTGTACTACAGCCGTTTGGTTTTTATAAGACGTTTAGGTTGACGCAGTCCACGAGACATCCTCCTTCGTTTCGGGTGAAAACTGGCTGAGCTTTTGTCCATCATATGATGGACATCATCCGAGCTGGGTCTCATTCCCGTAAAAGTCTCAAGTTAACACTAGGGCAAGATGCGCGTTAGCGTGAGACTTTTACAGGAATGAGACCCAGCTCTGATGATGTCCATCATATGATGAAAGAAAGTTCAGCCCGTTTTCACCAGAAATTAGGAAGTTATCGTAGACTGCGTCAACCCGAACGTCGTATAAAAGCCAAACGCCTGCAGTACAATGCGATTCAGCCGTCCACATATGGTGAGATCAACCCACAAATCTCTTCTTCATACACTTTAAAACTTTCAACAATGGCTTATTCTAACAGGCAAACTCACTGATAACTTCCTCTCTTACTTCCTAAAAATCCCCACCCCCTTTTCTCATCGCGATCTCTTTTCCTCCGGTTAGCGATAGATTCTTAGGTCAAGCGTCTCCTTTTTGCTGATCATGCTGTATTCTTGTTTTCCTCGAGTTTGCTTAAATGGTAAACAAATTTATCGCCAATTCTAACTTCCTCCAATTTCCTTTTCCTTAATTTTTTTCCCCAATGATGTCAATGGCCTCCCTTATCTTCCGATTCCTTGTGTTATTACCGTATGAGGCCCTACGTTCTGTTGTCCTCTAATTGATCTTATGTCCAGTTTGTGCGATGTGTTCCGCTAATTCTGATCTTTCTGTATCCATTTTGCTGCAGAGCATTTAAATTTCCTTTATTTGTATGTTAATTTTTCTTCCTGTTTCACGAATTTATTTCTGTTCGCAGGCGCCGGATGATATACAGTACCCTCTTGAACAATCCATTTTGTCTAAGCTTACATATTGCGTCTGAAGACTTGTAAAAATTGTTTTTTTTCCCTCTTTCACGAGTTCGTAGCTTGGTGTGGATAATGGCAACACTTACTGATGATGCCGACTCCGGTGCCGGCGAAACGCCTGAGAATGTACCAAATCCACTGTCTAATGCTGGGTATTATGATGACTTCTAGGGCAGAGGACTTCGAACAAGATGCTTTCTACTAAATCTCCCTGATAGCAAGGCAAAGTTGCGAAAACGAGGTCAACCCATTTCTACAAGCCCATTTATGTTAATTTCCTACAATTCTATTTTACTATTCAATTATGTTATTTTGAGTCTGCATTAAGAGCCCCGTATCTCAAGAGCATGATAGCAGTGCTCAATATTACCTAGTTAAATATTCTAATTTTCATTGATAAAACGATAAATCAAATTTGAAAAATATATAATTTAAGGGTGCATATACATCATGATTAAAGCTAATGTCAAATATAGCCAGGAATATCATTCTAGATTTCGTCATTATTTAGCATACCTATAATTTAAAGGGTATTATTATAACACTAATATTTACCAAGGAAATACTTGCAATGTAATCACTTAAGAGAATCCCTATCAACTCTACAGCAAAGTTACCAAAAAATCATGCAAACCGCAAATCGGGGTCGCTGTATAGTAATTATTTATTAAGTATTAATACTACTCGGATTATAAACATTAAGACATATTAAATGAAATGAATAAAAACAAGATTCCAGCAATCAAAAATGCTAAAATATGATATTTGTCATATTAAACGACACTGTGCAATCAGTTGGCAGTAATAGAACAAGAAAAAGGCAAACCTCTAGTTTACCCTCAGAGTTTTTGCAATTTAATGAGAAAATATCATTCTGATAAAGTCAATAATATATTATATCAAGCTTCGTTACAAAATTCGAAGAGACATATTATAAGGGAAGAGGAAAATTATTTAAATTTTTATATATTAAATCTTGACTCCAGCATGATTTGAGTCGGATCTATAGGTAGCCCAATGTCCAAACACCCGACAAAAATGAAGATGCCTCCAGAATGACGAATGTCATCGTCTAGAAAATAGAAAAAGATAAAGTAGTAAACCTGTCTTCCGTCCATTTTGACCTCGAAGCCACGGTGATCCTCAATATAGCACTAAATTTTGCACTGCGGAATTCAAAGAAGGCAATAAAGGACATTTTATTGAATGAGAAATCCCTCTAAGAAGCTACCGAAATAATCAAAAAGAGAGCTGGAAATGGAAAACCTCCCAACAATTTTGGCGGATCAAGAACCCACAGACAGAAACAACATAACCAAGATATAAAGAGAGTTAAAAAATAATTAAACAGTTCTGCAAGCTGAAAAAGGTGATTTCACAGAGGTTAAGGACCATAGGGAATAGACATAGAACAAAATAGTCTCAGGGAGACTACAACTTATCGACTGATAGCAAGAGCCGGACATTTAAAATCAAAGAGGAGCTGCATAAATGCTAAAGAAAATGAATACAAACGGGGTTATTGACAAAGTAAGAATGAATTCACATCTACGAAATGATGCAAGAGCCCCAGTGGGCTATGTTTTGCCGAAGGTACACAACTAGGGAGGAACGATAAGACTGATGGTCAATAACAAACACGGAGAAACACATAAACTGGCGAAGTTAATCTGCCTCAAATCAAACAAAGAGAATGACAGATTATCGAATACAGTAAAGAATTTATACGAATTTTGCCAAACAGTTTTGGTGGAAACAAAATTTATGTGACCTTTGATGTACAGCCCATGGACACCAATAACTCAGAAGAAAAAGCAATTACGGCACGATTAGTGAACTTGGAAAGAGAAGCTGACATCCTGGAATCCGACAAGACTCTCTAACCCGAGTAATCAGCCAAAAAATAAGAACTACTTATTTCACGTTCAACGGCCACATACATTAGAAAATATTTGGTCTACCTATGGGCTCACCAATCCCATCTCTATTGGCTAACATCTACATGAACAAGTTGGAGAATTTCCAAACGTCACCTCAGCAACCATCAGTAAGTATGCCATATTTGGATGACTACATCGCATACTGGTTGCATGTAAAAGAAAAATTAGACGATTTGCTTACCTTCTTAAACGATATGGATGAAAACTTAAAGTTACAATTGACGTGGAACAGAATGGACACTTACCCTTTTTGGATATGGAGGTTATTCCCTCCAGGGAGACTGCCAAGAAACGGCCGTTCCGATATAAGTCATATGCAGGAATAAGCCTTAACTCCCACTGCAACCATACTTATGGAATTAAGCTTGGAATACCCAGGAGCATGGTCATAAGAAGGTTACGATTTACCGATTCTGAGTTCTGGGAATAGGAACTGGAAAAACTAATTCAGATGTTTCTTGCAAACGGATATCCAAAAGAAACAATACAGTACATCATATTGATCGTGATGAGCAGACGGAAGTAGAAGGAAAGTAAGGGAAACAGAAGAAAAACGATGGATATGTTTACCCTTCTGAGAACTGGCTCGGAAGCTGCTGTCGATGCTATTGAAATGGAACATTCATAGAATCCTGACTAAAAGGACAACACTCTTCACAAGCCAGCCGACACAACATGAGGAAGTCAACAAAATGGAGTGCTCTGGAGTTTACAGCATAAACGGCAAGGACCGTAAACAAAAATAAATAATTGAGACGAAAATTATAATCAACATAAGAATCCAAGGACATCAACGATCACGCATAAAAATGGATACAGAAAGATCTGAGATAGCTTATCGCCTTTACAGGCCACTCAATTGAATGGAGCGCAATGGAAAAATTGGCCTTATATGGGGAGAACACCATAAAATAGACGATCAGGGAGGCTGAGGACATCCATTTTCAAAGTAACCTGATGAAAATGAGATTGAAAGAAGGAAGTATCTACTATAATTTCTCGTACTGTCTAGGCAGATTTGGAGATTAAACAAAGAAAACAAAAAGAATAAGCTTGGACGTCAAAATGAAACATCACCAAAGAACGGCTCATGAGGGACAAAGGGAAGTCAAGAAAAGGTGAATGCAGTGAGGAGAGTTAGACCTGGAATCCGT